ACTACATTCCCATCTTTTCCCAACGACACAGTCACCGCGACTTCTTCTCCTTGACTCAACCTGGTCAATTCCTCGAAGCTCTTTGAAAATCCCGTTCAGGGTTCGGTTCGTCTGGACTGGTCGTCGGTTTCGACGAACTGTAGGGCTCGGTAGATCCGTCGTTGTTTTTAGTGTTACGCGGCAAGTCGTCTGCACGACGTGGCTGCGTAGCCATTGCACAACGTGTCTTTAAATTGGGATCGCGCATAGTGATTATTTGGCTGCCGTCGGCCGCGTTCTTGATATTGCTTTCTGTCGCGATATCAAACGGTCTGCCGAGCAACACCTTATAAGCTGGACTTTCCAAAATGTGCACCTGCAGGTAGACCAAGATGGTCCCAAACCTGAAGGGTACATTTCTCGCTAATCCCAGTGACTTAGAGATAGATCCATTTGCGCTTTCCATATATATGACGACCTTTGGGTCCCAGCTCAATTGTGCGTCGACGGCTTCTGAGAAAGCCATCGATACAATCTGAGATCCACTGTCTAGGATGCAGTCCGCGTCGAGACGCGCGTTAATCCGTCCGTTTATTGTTCTGAGAGCAGCCGACGAATCACCAACATAGACATGTCTTGGGTTCTCATTAGAGGGTATCGACTCCAAGTACATCTCATATGGGTCCGTCGCGACAACTGCGCCAATGGGAATTTCTCCTTTGACTGTGTTATGATAGAACACAGGCTCGGGCAATTCCTTAGCACTGACTAGGTTGTAGCTCAGTTCTCCATCCCAAACGTCTTCAACGACGCGACCAGTTTCTTGAAGCATGGACTTCTGAACCGGTACTCGTTTCTTCGAAGAGTCCTTCAGAATGGAGTCGCGAACAGTCCCCGAAACTGCTAGGAGTTCACCCACAGTGACGTCGACTGACGCGTTTTTCATTTTGTCGTAGACTGCTTCTGCCACAGCCTTCTTTTGAATCGGTGCACGCAACTGGTATTTATCTGGAACGCGCGCTTTTGAAGAATGTACTGGTTCTTGTAGAACGGGCTTGACTTTCTCAAACGGTAGTTCCTTTCCCTTTTCGACGTTGTCGCGCACTGATTCCTCATCATCGTCGCTATCACTAACTTCTTCAATAGTCACAGGTTTTCTCGGTTTCTCTCGTCGCTCAGCTCGTTTATCATGGTCCTCAGAGGGCTTGGCTGAGTTTGTGGGTTTAGCCCCCTTCCTTGAACCATTTAGAAACCCGAGTTGTTATCGTCGCGCTCAGGTTGGCTATTCGCACCACGACGGGTTTGAATGAACTGCTCCTGAGTCTGAGGATAACCACTGTTCATGTTGTTGAAGTAGCCGGCCATGGCGTCGGTCATGGCTTTCTGCATGAACTGGCCCATGGCGCTTTCCATTGCATTACTGGTTGAACCAGATGCAGCTCTTTGAGTCTTCGGCTCAGCGTGACTCTCTGGAGTTGGCCGCGACGACTTCCTCTCATATTGGATGAGTTGACTACGAAGGGAGCGTATCTCATCTGCCACTTCTTCAGGGTAGTCGGACATATCATCATTGTCGCGACTATCGAACTGATCCAAGTAGTAGGAGTCCTGGAAGTTGACGGATTTGCCCTTCTTCTTCCAGTAAGCCTCTACTCGTTGTCCCTGAGTCCCTTCTCCATTTGGTAGGAAACTGTCGTCAAAGAGCCTCCACATCCCTTTGGTGTCGACTTTGAGAAGGTTTTTCTCAATGTGAGACCTCTTGAGCGGGCACTCGTTCGACCAATGACCAGTTTGTCCACAGTAGCGACAATCGTCGTTCCGTGCGGCAGCTCCTCCTTGTGCGCGACTTTCAAAGTGGGGCACAGAAGAGTTGTTGCCTACTGGCCGCGACCGCTGTATGGGCGCTTCGCGAGCAGTCTGTACGAACGTCTTCAGCGCTTCCTGCAACTGAGTCTGTAGCTCTTTTTGGTGTAGAAGAAATGAATCCTTCAAGTTGGAAATCGAGTTTTCCAACTCCTCAACCTTAGCATGGTTGGGTGGACTAGTCTCATAGTCGAAACGAACCTTGGGAGGTCGCGCGATTATGGGAATTTCGTCTTCGTTGCTCAACGTCGACGCCATTTCTTCCGCCATTGTCATTAGTTCTTTCAACTGGATGGGGTCGTCCTGCCGATTGACTCCAGTCGCGGGGACATTAGCGTTCACTATCCCGGCGCGAGTTTGGTAGCGCTTGTTGAATACCTGACTCGTAGCCAAAGCATTTCGCAAGACGGTACTGAACTCAGAGTCCAAAGTACGCATGTAGCGTTCACACGCGACTTTGTTGGTGATAATGGCAGGAGGGACTGACAGTCGCTTGTAGTGACTATACATTTGAAGGCCGAAACGCTTCAAATCTCCCTCATCCGTGATTTTGATTCCACGGTTCTCGCGACAGAGCCTGTCTAGATCTGCCATGGTCCCTGTTTTTCGCTTGGACACCTCAGGGTATCCTTTTAATATTTCGGCCTCGAATTCCGCGACAGTTTTCGTGTCGTCGGAATAGGTATCGAGACCTTCCCATACGTCCATCACTTGCCGCGACGGCAAATAACGGATGTACATGCTTTTTGCCTGTTTGACATCTGTGATGCCACCATCCTCCACGATCTGCGCGCAGTGACGCAAATATGCCTCAATCGACAGAGGATCCTTTTCATCAAGTATAGGTCTACTTGTGTCCCAAGGTTGAGGGATTTTGAACCCAGTCTTTGGAGCCATAGTTGTCGCGACTGAAGTCACAGGGGAAGTAGGGATGTTGTTAGAATTCGTGTTTGTAGCGGTGACGCTACTTGACAATTCTGAGAGGGTTTGTGAGCTAGTCTGAGATCGACTGATTGTCGTCGAACTCGAAGTAGCCGTGTCTAAAGCTGGAAGCTTCGACGTCGAATTCACTCTTTGTTTTCCTTTTGCCTTGGAAGGCAAGGGTGGTAGATACAAAGGTGTTTTATGTCTAGCAGACCTTCGTGGTTTTTCGAAAGGTCCTGAGGTTGAAGCGTTTCCTTCAGTCTCAATCTCCGCTTGGTCCTCGAGAGGTCGCGCAGGAGCTTGGGATCGAAATAAACTGCTTCGCGGGATAAACCCTTGGTCTCTATCCGACGTCGCGGTAAAGAATCCGGTTTATTGATTTTTAAAGTTTATGAAACTTTTTAGAAGCCCCTCGCGGTGGGCTCCAGATGAAATGCTGAGGGCGTGCTCACAAGTGAATCTACTATGAAAGTAAACCCCAAATATAAAACACGTTCACACTCCTCGTAATCAGCTTCTCAGTGTGTGAAAGATGCGAGGGCTTCGGGGTGGACAGAGCACCAGTATCACAACTCTCAATAGACGCAGATCCAATAGTCGCGGAGACGAAGTCGACAACAAGAATTTATATATAGCAAACAATGGTGTCTCAACCAATATCTTCTATACGAGCACAACCAACACTAATCCAATCCACAAACAACAATATAACAAGTCAGAGCTTAATACGAAGTATTAAGATCCCTTGTAGCGACAGCGTCCAGATGGCGACGCGAAGCTCAAATATCAAGTCGACGCACTGCCAACCGATACAACCAATATACTGAGTCGACGCACTGCCAACTAGTAAACCAAAATGTCAGGTCGACGCACTGCCAACTGACAAAACCAAAAGTACTGAGTCGACGCACTGCCAACTAGTAAACCAAAAGTACTGAGTCGACGCACTGCCAACTAGTAAACCAAAATGCCGCGTCGACGCACTGCCAACTAACAGCCAATATCCAATGTCCAAAACCCGAGCACAACTTGTCGACGCACTGCCAAGCAAGAAGTGTGGAACCAAAGTTCTCAAGTCGACGCACTGCCAACTGACCAAAACAACCCGAGCACAACTAGTCGACGCACTGCCAAGCTAGAGGTGTGGAACGATCTCAACAAAGCCCGAAGGCGACGACACTCAATGCCGCGACTAAACCAGATGCGGCGAATCCGACTTTCTGATGTCTCAACTCAAACTCAAATCACAGTAGCTACAAGTGCTCAGGGAGCAACTCGTCGCGACCGGGCAGGGGTAGCAGAACTTCTTAGGGTGGAATCACGCGGCACGCAAATTGTACAAAACAATCTGAAATGAGAGTGATTCACAGTCCGGGGGAAAGCTCCCCAATACAAAGAAACGACGTGCTACTTATACTGTCTACGACGCTGCTTAGTAAAGTCCTGTACAACTGCATAGTAGCTACGCTATCTAAGATCGGTTGCCTTTTAGGGTAATTGAAAAGTTGAACGATCGGACAGGTCCTGAGTGATCAGGACCCCGCCCCATTGTCCATATGATACTTTTGATGTGGGTCAACCCACCGCGTCATACTTTTGGAATACGACGTGTTGGATTGGCCAACGGGTATGTGTTGGCAAGTGAGACCAACGTGGGCGCCCCAAGAAGCCGTATGGCCCTAGGCACACCAGTCGTCCCCCACATGGTTCGGTTCACGGATCTAGCCGTGTCGGTTTCTAGTGTGTTTGGGTATGGACGCGACTCGCCGTGACACTTGGAAGTGTCACCGCGACGCGTCCACAATGTCCCGTGATCGAATGGATCCTGACATGTGACAAGTCGTCGTCGTGGCATGATCTGAGGAAACGTCCAACTCAAAACCGGGAGTTGCCGCGACAAGATGGTTTAAGTCTCGTAACGCCAAGTCCTGTCCAGTGGTAGTTCTATTATTGAGAACGTCGCGCATTGCTCAGCCCTTCAGCCCAAGTTCCCATCTGCAGAGAATGACCCTTTTCGAGAAGTCGACGCAACGACAGATCCCTTTTTGGGGAATGGTCGCGGTCCAAGCGTTCGTCACTAATGGCCCTGAGCCTGGTGTAGACCCATAAGACCAGTTCCACAGTAGTGGTCTGACTGCCTTGCTATCGTCGACACTATCCACAGTCGTCGACTGGGCAGTAGACCCATAAGTCCTACTGAGCGCAACACTGTCAACCGCGACACGATACACCGAATGGTTCAAGAGTAAACTCTGTAAAAAGCGCAAAAATACGCCCTTACAGAGCTGGTGCAGAGCGCGTCTGGTAGCCAGCCTATCACCGGTTATACCGACAACCTGGTCAAGGTGACCAAATATAGGACAGGGCTGGATCCGAAGATCAACCAGGCCATCACCACCTCTGGCAACCCTCCCAGCCTCACCGACTACGCCGAATGGCGTGTCCGTGCTTTCCGGCAATACAATGCGGAAATTGCTGCCAAGGCATCTCGGGGGCATGCTGCCCCTCCCCCTCGGGCACCTCCCATTGCCCAACGTCCTCGTGCCCCGGTGCTCCCTGCTGTAGCACCGGCTGTTGCCGCCCGCCCGGCGCCGGCCCCTGTTGCCCACCCTGTTCCCATGGAGGTCAACCGAGCCCGGCTCTGCGGGGATGTCCGCCGTACCTGCTTCCGCTGCGGCAGTCCGGGACATCTTGCCCGTGACTGCCCCACCCCAGCTGACATCCGTCATGCTGATGTCCTTGACGAGGTCATCAATCAGCTGGGAAGTGAGTTGCTTTCCGAGTTGGTCGCTCGGGTAGCGACTACTGCAGCTGTTGCAGAACACGCGGCCGATGTCGCGGCTGAGGTGGAGCAGGGTTTTCTCCCCAGCGACGAGTGAGTAGTACGCCCTCGTTCGCTTCACGTAATCGTTTCTCCTGTTTGTATGATGAATCCAATTCCCTCCACTCTGCAACAGTTGAAGCGATAGACGTACACCCTGCTCCCCCTCTAACCCCACGAGTCCGTAAGGAGAAGTGGGAACGCAAGCTCCCTTCCTGCTATGTCGCTGCCGCCTCTCCCGGGGCCAATTCTCTCCACCTCCCCCTCAAGATCGAGTCCACCGACAACGCAGTGAAGTTATCTCTCAAAGGCCTGGTCGATTGCGGTGCCACATCCGACTTCATCGACTCGGCCTACGTCCTCGAAAATCACCTCCCCGTTCGTCGCCTCACCCAGCCTATCCCCGTTTACAACGTGGACGGCACGCCAAACGAGGCCGGTTCCATTCGCGAAGTTGCTGATGTGGTTCTCCGTTACCAGGGCCACAGCGAACGCGTGCAGCTTGCTGTCACCCATTTAGGCAAGCAGCAGCTCATTCTAGGGTACTCCTGGCTCCGGAAGCACAACCCGGAGATCAACTGGGATACCCAGGAGGTAAAGATGAGCCGTTGCCCTTCCGGTTGCTCCACCTGCCGGGAGGAACTTCGCGAAGAACGTCGATCTGCCAGAACCGCGGCCCGGGTGCTTCGCACCATCCGACAAGGTCCGGTTCCATCCATCTGCGCTGTCGACGTCGAGGACCACGAGGACGAAGAGATGCCGGAGCTTTCGCCAGATTCGGACGATTATGACCCTGAAGATGTCGAAGAAGATGACGACTCCTTGGAAGCCGGTGACCGTATCTTTTACACCTGCTTCAACCCTTCTGAAAACATCCGAGCCACCAGCACCGTTTCTCAGCGACTTGCCGAGGCGTTTGCTAAGAACTCTGCACCTCCTCGGGACTCCATCCCTGAGTGGGCCCGTGAGTTCGAAGATGTTTTCAGCAAGGAGTCTTTCGACAACCTGCCTGAGCGACGCCCCTGGGATCACGCCATCGAACTGGTTCCCGACGCGAAGCCGACCAACTGTAAGGTCTACCCCATCTCCCCTCTCAAACAGAAGCAGCTCGACAGCTTCATCGAGGAGGGCATGGCTACTGGCAGGATTCGGCCGTCAAAATTGCCCATGGCGTCTCCCGTCTTCTTTGTGAAGAAGAAAGACGGCACCTTATGGTTTGTCCAAGATTACCGAGCACTAAACGCGATGACAGTGAAGAACCGCAACCCGCTCCCCCTGATCAATGATCTCATCAACAAGCTCAAGGGAGCTCGGTTCTTCACCAAACTCGACGTTCGCTGGGGCTTCAACAACGTGCGCATTCGTCAAGGCGACAAGTGGAAGGCAGCGTTTCGGACAAACCGCGGGCTCTTTGAGCCGTTGGTGATGTATTTCGGCCTGACCAATTCCCCCGCAACGTTCCAGACGATGATGAATGACATACTTCAGGACCTCATCCTCTCTGGCAACGTTATAGTGTACCTTGACGACATTCTCATCGCACATTCCAATATCCACCGTCACCGGGAAATCGTGAACGAAGTCCTCCAACGTCTCCGCGAGAACAAGCTCTACCTTCGCGCGGAGAAATGTGAGTTCGAGATGCCGTCGATCGAATACCTTGGGGTGATCATTTCCCACAACCATGTGGAGATGGACCCGGTCAAGGTCGCAGGTGTGGCGGAGTGGCCAGCTCCGGCTAACAAGAAGGAAGTGCAGCAGTTCCTCGGCTTCACTAACTTCTACCGGAGGTTCATCCGGGATTTTTTGCACGTTGCCCGTCCTCTCTTTGACCTCACCAAGAAGGACGTGGCATGGACTTGGGGCGCCAACAAGGCAGCTGCGTTTCTTGCGCTGAAGAACGCTGTTACCTCTACCCCAGTCCTGCAACTCCCGGATGCTTCCAGGTCTTACCGCCTCGAAGCAGACAGTTCGGACTTTGCGACCGGTGCTGTCATCTCGCAGCAGTCCCCCGTGGATGACAAGTGGCATCCGGTTGCCTTCTTCTCGAAGAGTCTTAACAAGGTCCAGCAGAACTACAAAATCCACGACAAGGAGATGCTCGCCATCGTCCGCGCCTTGGAGGAGTGGCGACACTTCCTCGAGGGCGCCGAGCACCCCGTTGAGATCTGGACCGACCACAAAAATCTGGAGTACTTCCGGAAGGCCCAGAATCTCAACCGTCGTCAAGCCCGCTGGTCCCTCTATCTGTCTCGCTTCGACTTCACCCTGCACCACCAACCTGGCCGCCTCATGGGCCGCCCGGATGCTCTCTCGCGCCGCCCCGACCACGGAGTCGCTTCAGACAACGCAGACGTCACACTGCTGCGCCCGGAGCTGTTCCATGTCCGGGCCTTGGAGGGTCTCACTGTCTCTGGACCTGAAGCCCCTCTCCTGCGCGACATCCGGGAGGCCCTCGCCGGTACCCCCGACCTGGAGGAGCCCCTTGTGTTGGCAGCACGTGAGCTCCTCAAGGAACGCGGAGTTCGCTCTGCTCGGGCTGCGGAGTGGCGAAAAGAAGGCGGCCTGCTCTACTTCCGTGGCAAGCTGGTGGTTCCACGCAACAACGACCTCCATTGACGCATCCTCGAGCAGCACCACGACACCCGCGTCGCAGGGCATGCTGGCCGCTTCAAGACGTTAGAGCTGATCTCTCGGAACTACTGGTGGCCCCAGTTGTCTCGACACGTCGGCCGGTATGTGGCCACCTGCGACCTGTGCTGCCGAACCAAGGCGCTCCGCCAACTCCCAATCGGGGAACTCCATCCCACGGAGGTCCCTTCGGAGCGCTGGGAAGCGGTGTCGGTTGACTTCATTGTGCATCTGCCAGACGCTCACGGGTATGATGCTATCATGGTCGTTGTTGACATGCTTGGGAAGCGCAGCCACTTTATAGAGTGCCACACCCGGCTCTCCGGTGAAGGTGCCGCCAGGCTTTTCTACAAGAACGTCTGGCGCCACCATGGGCTGCCGTCTAAGTATGTCTCTGACCGCGGCTCCCAGTTCATCGCAGAGTTCACGCAGGAGCTGTGGAAACTCGTTGGGGTCTCATCGGCAATGTCTACCGCTTGGCATCCACAGACGGACGGCCAGACCGAGCATGTGAACCAGGAGCTCGAACAGTTCCTCCAGATCTTCACCAGCTACAACCAGGACGACTGGGACAAGCTGCTTCCCTCTGCAGAGTTTGCTTACAACAATCATGTTCACTCATCCACGCAGCAGGTCCCGTTCATGACCGACACCGGTCGACTCCCTCGCATGGGCTTCGAGCCGAATGGACCACGCTCAACTGTGAACGAGTCGGCAAATGACTTCCGCGACCGCATCACGTCTGGAGTGGCAGAGGCCAAGTCGGCACTGGTGAAGGCAAAGGATGAGTACAAGCAGTACTACGACCGCCGGAGGGTCTCAGCTCCAGACATCAAGGTCGGAGATCGAGTCTGGCTTGACGCTTCTGACATAGCAACAACGCCCCCGTCCCTCAAACTCTCTCACCGACGGCTGGGTCCCTTCAAAGTCACCCAGGTCGTTGGGCGCGGCGCTTACAAGCTTGACCTCCCTCGCCGCCTCTCTGGTCTTCACCCGGTCTTCCCCGTTGTCAAGCTGCAGCTCGTCAAGGACGACCCGTTCCCAACATGCCCGGCTCGCGAAGAGCCGCCACCTGTCATGGGCCAAGGAGCTGACAAGGAATGGGAAGTCGAAGAAGTTCTGGATGCCAAGATGCGCTATCGGAGCATTTGTTACTTCGTGCGGTGGAAGGGCTACGATTTGTCGCACGACCAATGGGTTAAGCACTCTGATATCTTCGCAGAGGACGCTATAGCGGCATTCTACCGCAAGCACCCCAACAAGCCATGCATCATTGCTGCCGCCATCTTCGACTCCCTTCCGTTCCAGCACCCCTCTGCCACCATCCGCACGTTGCGTCGAGGCGCCGCAATCCAAGGGGGGGGGTGATGTCAGGGGAACCCCCGCTTCGGACCGCTCTGCCTTCGATCAGGCATGTGATCGCGCTCGCGTGACCTGTCAGCTGTCACGTGCCACGGCCCGGACTGCCACGCCAAGCGCTTCTCTCTGACGGGCACATGGTCAGGTGTCCCATCGTTCCCACTGTCTCGGTTTCCTATTGTTCTGTCATGGCCATTGTACTTATTGTTCCCATTGTCCTTTGTTTGTTGCTGCGCGGTCTATTGTTCTTGTACCATATAAATAGTGGCGCCTGGCAAGGAGACTCCCCAACACGGTTTCTCTTTGGATTCTCCCTTGCCAGGTATGCCAGTCTTGTACCTAGCTACCACTATTAATCACCTTTGGATTCTCCCTTGCCAGAACTCTGAGATCGGGTCTCGAGGTTGCCCTTACACCAGACAAGCCGGTGCTTCCCATCAAAGATGGAGACAGCATTGAAGATGTTGTTAGAGTTGGACGACATATTGATCTGTGTGAGTGAATCAGCATCAATCTAATCTGATAGATAAAATCAAAGATAAGGATGATCAGATCCTCATAGATCATAATCTCCTTCAGAGATCGATGCATCTGGATCAAGCGATGTAATCGCAATCCGGCATGGTTTCACCAGTGCTATGCAACAGCTGAAGTGATGACAGATAGGCTAAAGATGCTGCTCATTGTTGCAGCCAGTGACGGCGCATACAATGAATGTTGCAGCCACAGAGGCGCTGTCATAGTTCGGCCACTTTTTCATCTTATCTTTGACGATCTTATCTTATCTCGGCACGGCTTATCTTATCACGGATCACGGCATCAGACGGCCCGGGCTAGGGGTTCGAGGGATTATCCTTATTGATTCAAGGCTGCGCGACATATGCTCCAGAAGGTTCTATTACAACCCATGACCAGTGTTCCATGCGGTACATAGCCTTATGACTCATTAGTTGTAGATA